CCCACAAAGACCTACAGGGACATTCTGATTTCTGCTCTGCCGATGACTCTTCTGAAACAAGTCCCCAGGGAAGTTTGCAGCCTCTGCACCCCTTTTTCTTACTTTTTTCCCCCCAAACCTTATTCACATCTAAGGGGCAGTGTAACCTCATCACTGCCCTCTTCAGTGTGACACAAAGGAGGCACAGGCATCAGGGCTATTTCACAGTCTAGTGGGTGGAGAAGAAATAGAGATCAGGAACAGCCTGAAAAAAAGACTGTATGACAGAGGGGCACGCAGAAGGATTAGGATGAGCTCAGAAATCCACAAGTGTACACCTGTGGATTATTCCTCCAGGACAGGTAACAGCCACTCCCAAAGATTAAGTGAGAACCTTGGAGTTCTAATTTTCAGTTCTGTGACACAGAAATGTCAGCAGGCCACTTTTATGTCACTGTCCTACATTTTCCATAGTTTGCTTTCTTGTATTGCAACAGCATAATTATTTTTTTCTTCAGTTAATCATTGTATTTTGTTCCTCAGAGTTTACAATGATTTGGAATCTCAAGATACAGTATTTGCAGATGTGGCCCCTTTGCTAACATCTCTCCTGGATGGGTAAGTTAAAAGGTGGGAGTAAGAAAGATGAAGCACAATAATCTACTGAAATCCATCAATTAAAAAAAAATACTACTTAATAGAGGTGATCCTGTCAAGCTTTGTGGCTTTGCAGTTCCATTTTCCTGTTTTGTTTCTACTCAACACCAAGTAAATGTTTCCCCATAACAACAGTGAAAACACTGTTTACAACCTTTAGCAGAGCAGACACATTTGCAAAAAGAACAAAGCAACCAGTTTTTTCTCTCTGGTGTTCTCCTGGCCAACTGAATCATTGCATCAAATGGAAGATGCTGTCTTTGTGTGTGTGTTTTTGTAGGTTATGTTTTATAACTGTTTTCCAGTTTTAGACACAGGATGACACGTTTTCAGCCAGTGTGTTCATATATGCAAGGCCTGGTGGGGCCACTCTCTGCACCTGCCATAGGAGGTGGTGCGATAGATTCCTGGTTGAACCGGAATTGAGCAGTCGCAGTTGTAGTTCTACTGCTCCTTCAGGCACTGGGATAAAACAGAATTCTGGTTTGAATACAGAACTGATCAGTAACAAGCACTAACAAATATATGAAATTGCTTCTAGCCACTGAAGTTCATAAAGTGTGATTTTTCATTTATACTAGAGCCAACTTAAGCTACTCTTTCAAAGAAGCCTCAAAGTGCATATTGTTATAATCCTTGAAGCTTGAACTGAGATTTATACATAACTTCCTTTCTGCTCTTTTTTCATCTGTGCTCCAATACCACTTAATTATATGGTAGAGTTGTCATGGACCTTTCCCTCCCTGTAGAGGAAAAGACAACCCTTTCCATCCACAGTGGCAATCCTTGTTCCCTGCAGTCTGTGCACTGGAGTTTCCAAGTCTCCTTTTCTTAAAAGTGACCTAGAAGAGGTATATCAGGATATTGGGAAATCCCAGTCATCCCTTTAAATATGCCAGGGAGGGACCTGCCCACAAGGGCTGCCTGGGCTGGGGGAAGACCTATATGGCATTATGCTCATTTTCCAGTGATGGGTAACTGCAGTTTCCATACCTTAGCAGCCCAGGGACCACTAGGTTGGAGAAGTTTAAAGTCTTATAACTACTGTTTTCTCTCCCTATTTTTCCTTTTGCAATGAATATAATTTTTGAACGTAATTTTGCTGTGGCTCAGTATGTCCCTTAAGTGTCTACAGACACAGATCTGTACTTTGATCTGCTGTACTTCCCACTTTCTAATTTTCACATTGGGAGAATCCTGTCCTAAAAGCTAGGATTTTTGTATTCAGTTAGGAAATGTTCTGTTACTGAAAACAAAAGACCGGTCTTGTTCTTCCAGAAGTGCCATTTAAACAGAAGCAGAGTTTCAGGGAAGACGAGGCTGTGCCTGTGAGCCATGTTTCCCAGCAGCCTTCCCACTGTAAATGGGAAACAGGCATACTTAGTCTGAACCTTGAACCTCTTTGCTGCTCCTGATTGTTTTACTCTGGGTTCCAAGGTGGTCTGCAGCAACTTCTAGCTTAAGTGGAAAGGAGTGTTCCTCTCCTTTTCCCTATTTTTCTCTTTATTTTTCTTATTCCTGTATAAATATACAGGAAGAAAAGATTGTTCCATATGCAAAACAGATAAAGTACAGCAGGCTTCAAAGTTTACAGTGAGCTATACAGGGCCAGCAAGGGAGTAAGATAACATTTCTTTTCTTTACAGCATTGAAGATTCAAACTTGTTTGGTTATTCTAAGGAAGAATACATTTCTCCTTTGACCTCCTTTAACAGTGTTCTCTCCCCATGGTAACTTTGCTGTAGTGAGCACCCACACTCTTTTCAGGAAAGAACTACTACAAAACTATTGGTATACTATCTTGACAATAAGAACCTTTCTAAACAAGAGTATAACCATTATGTATACTAAGCAGAGTGGAGGTTTCTCTATTTGAAACATTTATGTTGGAACCAGAACACCAATGAAGTAAACTATAATGCATTATTATTATATAGGTCAATAAAATCTGGTGCTTGTCTTCTTGTTGAATCACCCAACAATTCATTCTCTTCTTAGGTATAATACTGCTTTGACTAGTTCTAGCTCATTTGGGCTTACTGAAACACTATTTTGGCTTTGGCAGAGAAGTTATACTGGTTGATACCCAGTTGGCTTCTGTGTCTTCAGTGTTGCAATCACCTGTCTACTTAGCTTCTTATCATGTCATCTCTATCTTGTCAGAACTATTTTGTCCATGATACTTGCTTTCTAACAAACAGCAGTTAAGGAAGAGTTGAATAGCTGGACTATATGGAAGTCTGAGAGACTTCTAAAAACACCTTAATTCTGTTTTTCCTGAGAAAAACTGCTACTTGCAAACTTCTGGCTCCCTTTGTGGCTCCAAAGATCTCTCTGATTTTGAAGCAGGACTAGAAGTCTCAATAAGCTACAGGCTGGCCAGGCAGTGTGCTTGAGGGGTGGCATTGTGAAAATTGCTCATTGTTGGCCTAGCTAAAACCTACCAAAATTAGCATGAGCTTTTCCACTAATATAAATACCAGTAGAGTTATGTCAGCAGTGAATCCCTCATTTCAGATTTGCAGCCCTAATTTCTGTCACATTTAATTTTGCTGTAGTGCTCTGTTTCCAGTTACTGTTATGTCCTTTACTTCATCAAATCTGTGACAAAACTCTGCATCCTAAATTTTATGCTCTGCATTCTAAAATCTGGAGGGACTTTGCTATAGGTTCACTGACTGCAGCTTTGACTTCACATCCCCAGAAAGGGCACCCAGGTATTTGCTGTGTGGCTTACCAGTCCACATTTCTTTCTAACGAGAGAAAGCTTTCTAAATAATCCTCCCAAAACCAATTGCTTCTAGGCATGTTTAATATGCAAAAAAATCACTGCAGTCACCATGTAAGTATTTCATGACTTGAATCCATACATTTAAAACAATTAGATGAAGGATGTTCATTGCAATGTCCTGGCATGTGCTTGAAACAACATTTTTTATATGAGGAAAAGCATCAGATAACCAAAAGCAGCTGTTTCAGGTCTGCCCACAGAGAAGGTAGCTGGGCAGTGAAATTTTACTCCCTGGCAGAACAGGAGCACATGCATTATTGCAAATCTCTAGTAGAGCAGAAATTTCAGCAAACTGCAGAGCATTCCTTAGATTAGAGTTCTTAGAATTAGATTCTGCTAATGTCTCTGAACAAACAAGATAGTCCAGGGAGGGAGCAGTGCTGTCAGCATAGCTGCATGTCTTCCAAGGGTTTTGCTGGCACAGTTCTGTGGTCAACACCAAGGTGCTGGTGCTGGCAGGTGCTGCAGAGCAGACACAGCCACATAGGGGCTAAACTTAGCTGCACAGTACAGTACTGATCCTCCATACAAAGTAGTACTGTGGCTGGATGCATCTGTGCCCACCCTCTTGTTTTCCTTAAGGTGTTGACTTTGATCTGACTGTGTTAGAAACTCACTTTCTAAATAGGATTCATACATCAGAGTTCAGATACCTGTGGCACAGACGTTCACAACTGAGCTCAAAGCTGTGGGCTTTTTTTTATTATCGTTTCCAGTGCAGTGTAAAAGTCATTTTCAGAGTTCTGTTCATTAGACATATTTTTCGTGTCTGCTTCAGAAGATGATGAACTGTGTTGCATAGGTGCCTGTACCTCTGCACTGACACTGTACATTTTCATCTTGTCCATATCAGAGCAGTTCCTGCCACCCTTGTTCCAGAGTAGTCATTAGGCACATGGTTGTACTGAAATAGAGCTTTGGGTTTAAAATTTGTGCCTTTTATTATTAGGGCTGTCTTCTCTGACTGAGGGCTATGACTGATGAGCCTGTCTGAAAAGGGCTATAAGAGCTGAAGAGTTCCCAGCTGTTAAGATCCTAGTGTGGAGGTTTGCAGCAAAGCACTGTAGGACAAATCAAGCCCAGTGATGGTTTACTTTAAAATGCTGTACTGTAAACTGCAGTGGTTCAGGAGCTGATTAACAAGCAGCTCAGTAGTGCATGAACTGGAAGTTGGGCAGACAGGAGGTCTAACCTCATCAGTCATTCCAAGCTAAGCATCCCTTAAACTTAAAAGCATCCCTTCAACTCTACTTTAAAAATAAAATCTGTTTAGGTGATGTTATAAGCAGTACCTTAATTACTGTCAGATTCTGAGATCTTCAGAAAGAAATTGGCCAGTGTATTTTTTCATTTCAGTTTGTGTTCCCAAAGTGTTTGGGGTTTGACTTGCCACCTAACAAACACATTTGGTAATGCTAAAATAAATGAAGGCCCTTTTCATTTTCAGGTACAATGTGTGCATCATGGCTTATGGGCAAACTGGAAGTGGGAAGACATACACAATGTTGGGACCACAGTTAGAGGAGAACTTTTCATACTCCATGGAAGATGAATCACAACTTGGAATTATTCCTCGAGCTACCCAAGAAGTGTTCAGGTAAAAACTAACTAAAGGCTTGTCATAGGTGGCAGTCACCTTAAACTTTACAGAAAGGATGAAATAGTGTTTGTAATGTATTTATCATTACAGATTTAGACTTCATAATGATTAATATTTACAGCTTCTGACTGCCATTTGATATTTGAGATTTTACATAGATTTCTAGTATCTCTCCTGCTTAATCTGATTTTCTAAGACAATAAGATTACGCAGTCTTGCTGTGTGTTATCCCTCTGCCTGTCTTTCAGACCCCTAATTAACTTTTGGAAATGTTTCAACCCTAGTTGTGAGAGTCCAAAAGATAATTATGTTCTTGCAAGTTTTGTGAAAATTGAGAATTGGAATAGATGAAAAAGATCCCGATCAGAACCCAGTCCCAAAAAAATGATAGTAGAATTGTTAACCACCATCTGTTCTTGCTTTGAGAATTCTTCTATTTTTTGAGTTGAACCTTATATATGATTGAGCTGATACACTGCTATGTTATAACAGAAGAGCCATTAGAGCATTTTTCCAGCTAAGCCTGTTTCTTCTGGAGAATGTTATAAACTGAATCAAGGATTGTATTCTGTATGAGGATAACTGTGTCTAACTGTAAATACTCTCATGAATAGACAAGCCCTCAATTTATGAATTTTCTGAGGCTGTGGACAGATAACTTCTTACAGACCTAGTTTGCCATCTCTGTCTGCTCATTGCTTGTACTCTGCCAGATTTTATACCTTGAGCCCTGAATGCAGTAACAGTCAGCAGAGAAATGGTATAAAAACCTCTTGAGGAAGGTGGGAGGGTAGCAGACAAAAATAGTTTAAGTTGGCACAGCTATTTGGAAAATGAAGTTTTATTTACTGCTTCATGTATAATCTAACTGCATGTTCTGATTCTTCAATTTAACATTACCACGTGGGTGAGACAAAGCCATGGCTGTGGATACTTAATAAGCACTTTTATCAGATTGTAATTAGATTATAATTAAAGAATAGATCTTTATTTACAGGATGTTCACTTGGGGTTTGACTTCAACATTTTTTTGGCTTTTTTCTTCTATATTTTTTCTTGTTTTTGTTCTCCAGGCTTATTTCAGAAAAGCCACCAGGAACTTACTGGGTTGAAGTTTCTGTTGTAGAAGTGTATAATAATGAAATTTTTGATCTTCTGGCCAAAGACAGTTATGGAAAAGTATTTGGCGTCAAACGTGATGTTGTCACAACCAGAGAAGGAAAG